TGACCTCATGCTCTAAAAACAGCTTTTTCTACACTTTTTTTTTCTCTTGTAAGGACAAACAAAACTTTTCCACGTAAAACGTACAAACTGGGGAAAGTGTATTTTGTAAAAAGCCTCAAATGCGTCTACTTGCAGCTGGGAATCAGCTTGAAATGCGTGATTTGACTGAAAAACTGCACAGCTGTTACGATGCAAAATATTTTTGCATGAACTTCAAATGTGCTGTGCTTTAAGATTTTCTGGGCTGAACTCCTAGCGAGGCGAGGGTGGATCTCTTCTCCAGAATAACTCCCGGTAGGACAAGAGGAAATGGCTTCAAGTCACACCAGGGGAGGTTCAGGTTAGACATCAGGAAGAATTCCTACATGGATGAACATTGGAACAGGCTGCCCAGGGAAGGGGTGGAGTGCCCGTCCCTGGCAGCGTTCAAGAAACGGGTAGATGAGACACTTAGGGACATGGTTTAGTAGGGTTGAAGGGTTTATGGTTGGACTCAATCTTGAAGGTCTTTTCCAACCATAATGCTTGTTTGATTCCTGAATTCTGAGATCAACTTCGGTTTTCTAAAACGGAACATGATCAAGAAGCAAAAACTCATGGTATGTTCCATTGAATCTTTACGTTTAAAAACCTTCTGAAAAAGATGACTTGGTCTCTCTGACTTCCAGCAGTGATGGCTCCAAGGCTGAGGGTAGCGGAGGGGGAGGTTGGAGACAACGTGTGTCTCGTGAATTAAAGATAGGTGAGACAGAAAATTAAATGTAGAGAATAAATGCCCTGAAGGATTTTATGTGTACTGCAAAATTACATAGTGCTAGAACATGCTAATTAAGGCCATACAAAGCACTTAGTGTAGACAAGAGCTGTCATGTTTAGCACCTAGGTTACCCCGGGTCAACAATAACCACCAATGTTAAACATAGTAGTCTTTGTTTATATTGACTGTTGTATTACGAATTACACGCTAATCAACTCGCATAATGTGTTCTTCCAGTGTAGGCAAGCCCTAGGAAGGCTTGGGTTTCATCTGTGATACAGATGCATAATGAAGTTAAAAGGCAATTAAAAGGTGTTTATTTTTTCAAGCTCCCCTGAGAAGTAATTATAGGGGTAGAAACTCTCCTACTTCTGTAGAGTTGCTCTCAGTTTCTTTCCTATTACCCCTTATTTCTCCTAATTCCCTCTCAGAGCGGAATGGTGGAAACAGTGGAATTCCCTATTCTTACTCTTTCCTCTGGATGTTGGAAGGAGAGAGGTGGATCTGACAGCAACTTCTCAACCTGGCACCCAGGTGCCAGGTGCTTTTGTTCCAGATCAGATTTGGGCATGTGAATGGCTGCAAATAAAATAAATTACATGTGTGGACCTAAATACCTGCTGATGAAGAGTCTGGGCATTTCATCCTACACTCATCAAAGTCAGTGACAAATTGTTCGTGATTTCAGTGGTGCAGGTCGTGGCCTTAGATGTTTTATTCAACATATTTAGTAGTACGTAGTAGGCACACTGTGTGTCTAGCCATGGAGCACTGGAATAGTGACAGGATCTGCACGTTACAATGCGATGCTTTGAGCTTGTAACAAAGAACTGCCTCTCCGAGAGGCCCTGCTCCTCAGTCCTGCCCTTTAATCGGGAGGTGGGAATGCACTTGGCTCCACATTTCAAATGTTGAAGGGAGAACAACTATACATAGAGAGTGCGCATAAAAAAGGCAAAACATAACAAAAAGACTCCTAACCTTTGCTTTGGAGATGATAGCATTTCCTCCAGACAGAGATAAATAAACCCCCTTTGCAAACAACACCTAACAAACCACTAAATATCATTCTGGTTTGCGTGACCAAGTCGATCATTCACAGGCAACCTGGGCCTGGCCTCTGTATCCCGGAGCCTCCAAAACATTAATCTTTTCTGTCATTGCTTCAAGGACAGCACAGT